ATATAAAAAAGGTTTTTTTTTTGTTAAATTTTTTGGGCGTATGAAGATATTAAAAAAAATGTTAACAAAGCAATTCAATACGTTACATATTATATATAGTTTTATTTTTAAAAATCCGCTGTTAACTAGTGAACAGTCAACAGATTTTTATTATTAACTTTTTAAATAGAGAATCCATATTAACCAGAGATGAGTTATTGTATTTAATATTTCCCTAACTTTGGCTAAATATAGACAGAATAACTGCGATGCTGACGTGTCCTCCACTTCTCATTTCTATGGAGTTACCGTTTCAAGGAAGTCAGAGAGGTAATCCAATTTATGACAGGTAATACGAATATCCGCCCGCTTTACCCAGTTCTCAGTAGGGATGGCCCTAGCCATGAATTTAAAAATGTCTTCTATGCGCTGTTGCTTTAAAGTAAAAATCACCTTTGAAATTAGTTAAACTAAATAGAAAATAATTAAATTCTAGTTCAAATGCAATCTTTGTTTCAATTAAAGACAATGACACGTTCAAGCCTGAACACGAACATCTACGAATTACAAGAATTTCCATGATCGGGATAATAAAGAGGATATGGATGATCGAAAAAAAAAACATCAAACTTTTGCTCGGTAGTTCAACTATTAATAAAAACTAGTGTTCGCCCAGTGGTCGAAATTCGACCATAGCCATTAAAAAATTTGAGGAAAAGATATAATTTAATAAAAAATAAAGTAAACAAATAAAGAGTAAATCACGATTCAAAAATCCTCATTTATTAATACAAACAAAATTTCAATTTCAATTAAAAATCGAGCTCGTCATTTAAAATTATTTATAAGTAATACAAAATACACTCATTCAAAAATATTTAATTTTCATTTTAATTTATGTGTTATTATCACAATAAATTAATGTTATGATTAAGTAAGTAAAAAATATATTTAAATTCACTTTAAATCCATTTTTATTCAGAACTTCTATGTAAATAATGTTCTATTTGAATGTTCCGTTATTGCATAGTGCATAGGCTGTAAGAATAAAAAAAGAATTTAAATCATAAATTTATTTAAATTTAATTTATTATCATTCCACTATTATTACATGATATCATCTCTTCAAATAATGGGCCCAATTACCTCAGTAAATGAAAAGTTTTCGATTTATAAAAAAACAAAATAAAAGAAATCGAACTTGGAAAGGAAATAAAACGTACTAAATGTTTAAAATGATACATCTCTGCAACAAATAGTCCGATTTCGATGATTTTTTTTTACATTTTGTAGGAAATCAAGAAAGCTTCGAATAAATACTGGTATTATCCATAAAAAATGTGTACTTTTTGAGTTATTCGCTAATAAAATACTGAATTCATCATAAAAATGTATGCAGCTTGTTTTCGGGAAAGTATGTTATACACAAATTATTAAGGTTTCAAGGGAAGACTTTAGCCAAGTTTCATTGAAATCGTTGAAGTCGTATTGGCGCTACAGTCTAAAGCGAATCACGTTTTTCGGTCGCCATTTCAAAAGGCCCGATGATGATGAAACGTATATAAAAAAACTTTTAAATATTATTGCGACGTTGTGTAAAAATTTAAAAGAAATTGGTGAAAAACTTTCGGAGATAAGCCGTCTTGAACAAATTGCCATTTATATTTTCATTCACATACTATTTAATATTTTTCTTTATTGATGACACTAAAGCTCGTCGATATCTATTAAACAAAAAAAGATGAAGAAAATCGGTTGAATAATAGAGGAGTAAAAGGGGCTGAACCGAGTTGTGTTTGCCTATTTATATAATGATAACCTTTTCCAATTTAATCGAATACTAGTTCACATGATTTCCGCACTAATTACGCGATGTTCATAATCACTTCCGTCACATTTGTTCATGGCCCTGCCGAATGCATTCATGCATTCGTTTTAATCTGAAAGTGAATGAAGGTGACTCTTAAATGAGTTACTAAATAACTTTCTCGCCATTAAAGTCCTTTACACACTTAGTCATGTACAGTTTTACAGTATTTAGACTACATTAATCTTACATAAACCTTAATCGAACTTCTATTATAGATTTGCAGACAAAAAAATAGTAACAGATATTAATATTAAATTATTATATCTCTGAATAATATTTAACAAGGTTTATTTTTCTTATTGATCATTTCTATTATTCATTATCTCCATTATTATTTATTATCTTCCATTATTCATAAAAGTGGATCCTTATATCTAAAAAAATCTACAAAAAATCGGCTTAAAGCTTACAGTTATAATAAATTTTGATGTCTCTTATACTAACAGATTAAATAAAAGCTATGTACTTTGTTTATAAATTCCAGCTTTGTAATAAATACAGTTAAATAAGCCGAATCAAAAGCATTAAAAAGATAAAAACCACTTATGTTGAGAGCGGCCGATAGTACGAGTGAAATTAGTCTTGGATTCCATGCTCTTCAACATCCACTTAATCTTCTCACATATTAACATGAGGTACATAAGAAATTTAATGCCCTTTCATATTAATTATAATGTATTTCTTTGAGAGATGCATAGATTAAAGATTTTTGGGAATAACCGATGAAAACAGATATTTCTTGTGAAATAAGCAAACAGTCGACATTCTCTAACTCCTCACCCATTAGATCTACATAAAATAGCTGTTGATAAATTAAATAGTAAATTTTATCTTTTTTAATTTTAAATTCAATTATTCCAACTTTTATTTGAAAAACTCGAAGTACGAATAAAAAGGTAATAGATAACTTAAGATTATTTATTATCAAAAAGTTAAAAAAATCTTTTATATAATTATAAAAAATAATATACAATACAATCTATGATGGGACTATGCGTTTTTTTTTTGTTTGTTTTTTTTCAAAAATGTGACTATAGGTACTATTTTACTCTGATACTGTCCAGGGCAGTGACTGTTTGTGGTTGAGCACTACATTATTGAACTAGAAATACCCTTGGAACCGCTCGGCAGGTATGACGTCATATATACAGGTGGGCGTTTCTGTTACTTTTGAAAAAAACAAATTAACTGTTCGTTGACAAAAAAACAATAGTTCTTAAGAACTGTTAAAAAAAATAGTTCATAGAACAACTCAATGATTCATGGTGTAAGACCTATTCGTTTGATAAGTCTTTATTCCTTTTAAAACTTATTTTATTCCTTTAATATGATAAGTCTGGAAATGAATGAAATGTTTCATGTATGAAGTTTAGTATTTTTCGAGCTTGAAATTGATAACCTTTTAATTCATTTTTAATATTAAACGGATGCTTAATCCTAAAAATTACTTCTTGACTACTTAAAACTAAAAAATATTTTTACACGTAGATCACTTTATTTTAATAACAGTATAATTTAGACGTAGATCACTTTATTTTAATAACAGTATTTATTTTACACGTAGATCACTTTATTTTAATAACAGTATAAATTTCTTGTATTGATATGGTGGTTGTGATTTTGGACAAGTTCCTAATCTCCCAATGATGAGCTTATTGATGACATCCTTTCGCCCAGCGTAAAGATGGATCCGGTACTGTACTATCTATAAGCTCAGCGCTGAGCTTAGGAATTCTTCCTTTTTCAAACAAATTTGTTAAAAATTGTTTGCCATATTTCTTTATCAAATGTTGTTCGAAGTTTGAAATTATGCTGCTTAGTCATTTTGATTCTTTTAACTGTAGTTCAAACATTTTTTCATCTGTTTGCCTTTTTCAATTTTTATAGAACGTAATAGTGTTTATAATTGTGTGTTAATGTTTGACTGTAGTGAATAATTAAAGAGGAGAACGTTTTTTTTTTTTTTTTACTTATCCCCTCAACCATTATTCTCTTCAATAATTCACTACAGTCAAACATTAATACACAATTATAAACACTATTACGTTCTATAAAAATTAAAAAGGCAAACAGTTGAAAAAATGTTTGAACTACAGTTAAAAGACTGTAATTAATTTTATTTATGTACTTGAATTGATTTATGTGAATATGTTAGATCATAAAAATTATTTTCGTCTGCAAGACTCTATTATAGACAGATACATCTTAAAATCTAAATCAATTTTGCCTACAAATATGCTTAAGTTAATTTAGTGATGTAGTAACAATGTAGGTTTTTTTATTTATTTCTAGCCTTCATTAATAATGGGAGCTAAAAATTACATCCCTTAACACCGAACGTTTGGCGTTTCCCTCCTACCCCTAGTCATATATAGACTGCTGCTTTATACTGACCCCTTCTGAAGCAGTGAAGGTATTAGCAGTTAAGTAGGTATAGGTTATTTTATCATATCTGGGCATTGTTTTGATGATAACAGTCACCTTGATACATCTCATGTTTTATCATCAAGTCTGGCAAAATATTGTTGTTATATTGTTTAAAACTTTAAACAAATCTATAGTAAATCATATTTTTGAAGTTTGAAGTAACAAGATAATTTATTTATTCCACCAAAAGTACTTTACAGAGAAACTCGAATATACCTAAATCCAAAAGACATTAAATAATCCTTTAACTAATTTTAACATCAGGTAAATACTAAAATCCACCCATTAAAAAAAATATTGTAGTTTTTAATTAAAGTGCTGATTTACTGATTACCTATTGATAAAAAACATTCTCTGTGTGATTTCATATGTTATTTATTACCAATCAACTACGTAATTTTTTATGGGTACTTTTTCCCCTAGTATTTTAAACCAATATATTCTCCAATTTGATTTTTCTGGCTGTTTCATTATGTAAAATTTTTTACTCATTTTAGTAAACATAGAAAAAATAACTTCCATTGTGGAAGTGAATGAAAAAATTTAAATAGGGTTTTTAATGGAAATACTTACTTTGAAATTTCCCAAGTCCATAACTCTCAAGTCAAATTCCATATTTCCTCTTTGCAAGTTGTATCTATATTTTGTTTCTCTAGTTTAATTTAATGTTGTATAAACATATTAATTTTCATTTCTGTTTTTAATATCTTTTTTTTCCTTGTAGAATATGATCAAAATGGATTTTCCACCCATGGAAGATACAATTAATAAATCCAGTTGGTGTTTCAACCAGGCCAGTAATACTGATGAAAGTGATGGATGGAGGAAACTCTGTGCAACTGATTGTAATGGAAATATCCAAAATATTGGAAACCCAAGTAAGACTAGTAAGTGTTATATAAATCATAACAGTGTTCATCGTCATCCTGAAGCTAAAAAAGTAAATAAAGGAGAGATCAAGAAGTCTAAGGAATCATCTATTCATCCAGGTCCAGATTTTTTCCAAAATGTCTTATTGAAAATGTATCCGAATAAATTCGATTCAGTTTTTGATAGAACAAATACTTTTTCATCCAAGGAAAATATTACCCTAAAAGATAGAAACAATAAGTTGGTAAATTCTGAACTTTCCTACTTTTCTGACAAGACTTCCACTGATCTTGGTTTGTCAAAACTTCTTGAAAATGACTCTGAAGACTGTAACTCTAAAAAATTTACTTTGTTCCCTGAAAAGTCTAATTCTTCACCTTCTATTTTGGATGGTTTAAATTCTTATTTCAGGAAGAGCACTCCACCTAGGTCAAGGTGTCTTTCTGATCCTCAGAGTAAACAACAAAGTTCTCTTACTCAGAAATTAAAAGAGAAATCTCCAGAATCAGTTTTTAATTGCAAAGATAGCTTACCAGATTTTGTCGCATCTCGAATTTCATCTCTCAGAAGTAAGATTGATGAATTAGAATTAGAACATAGAATAAAGGATGAAACTATAAATGAAAACAGTAAATTACCTAGCATTTTTACTGATAAACATTGCCATGGTGCCAATGATCATAATTCCTCGCAACAGGAGAAAACCATTGTCGGTGAATCATTTACACCGATATGTAGTCTAGTTCCTAAACGTTTATTTGATTCATGCGCTTTCCAAGATAACCAAACACTCGTAACTCCAGCAGAAAATAAATATATTTATAGGAGAAAAGAAAATGATTCCTCTCCTCAGAAGCCTAATAATCCCTATTCACTGGATATTGGAAAGGCTAATCCAAAACTGGTTCCATTTAAAAACAATCCTGATTTGTATTCTTTCCAGCCACCCAACATGTACCATAGTTTAAACTACCCACCAATAAATCGACAAGCCTTCTATTACGGTGTTGATCCAACAGAGTTATCTCATGAGTGGTTAAATTTTATAAAAAAATTTCAGTCCTTTTCAACCAGAAACGAAGAAAATAGGTATAGGACTGAAAGCAATACTCCAGAAGTTCAAACTCAAGGAAAAAAGAATTACAGAAAAAACAACCAAAACCAACAACAATCAGGTAAATTAATTATTGTTTTATTAAGACATATTTAACCAATGTTGGTTGTGGTCTGTGTAATCAGTTGGTTTGCTTATTCCAGTATTAAAAATTATGAATTAATTAAATTTGGATGTACCCACATCCCACATAAAAGTAAACCAATTCCTGGTTTGGGTGATTTAGTTTTTCCTGTTATAGCCCGCTCGGCCACCCTGCCCCCTAAAATAAAGCTCTGCCACTGAAGAAATTCCAAAACTATTATATTTGTGCCATCTCGATCATGAGTTATGGATGTGTTATTCTACCTAGATACGTCATTCAATTCTCACTAGTGATTTTAGTATTTATGGTAAGAGAATTACTTGTTTCTTTCACACAATATATGTCCTCCTTGTTAGATTCAAGTATGTATGACATTGTGCTGGTGAATTGTATTTATATTTCTATCAGCAGCAGGCAGTGGAGATCAATCCATGTAGATCTTTACTTTTTGTTTTATAATTTTTCCAAATCCTTGAATAAAGTTGGAAAATTTGCTGATTATTCGTTTTGCTACTTTAATAACCTACATTTTATTCTTCTACAAGAACGTGGATTTTATGATATACAATTCTTGTTCTATGAGTAATGAAACACTAAAGTCACTATGTCTGCTATGGTAGAAGTGTTTTTGTTACTGAAAGTGGTTTAAAATTTTCTATTTACCAACAGAAGATCCTGAGCCTGATATGGGAAAGGTTGTCAGTTATCTTGCACTAAACCTGGGAGTGAATTCATCATTTTAACATATTTAGGTCCAAGGATATCCACCCTACAATTAATATCTCAGATCTTCAGAGATATCTACTTCAATATTATTTAAATTTGAAAACATGATTCACACTAACTGAACTTAAACCTTCCTTTGTAAGATCCCCAATGTATTCCCTCTTCGATCGATAATTAGAATCTTTTTATTAAATATTCAAAATTAGAGCAGAATCAGTCTGATCTGGTCATACTGATTAGTTCAATGTTTGTGGTAACTAACTACCTATGTCATGGGTTTCTGAGGTGATAAGTAACAAAACCATGACTTAATTTTTAAATATTCTGTCTTTTATATAAATTAAGGCTCTAAATATAAAATATAAAGAGCTCTCTACTTCTGTTAACTTTAGTAGGCAATGGTAGTTGTAGTCTTATTTCTAATTATTACCAATCTTAAGGTATTTAACAATTTATTAATTTGAAACTTTTGATTCCTTAATAAAATTTAAATTAATTTATAAAATAAAAAAAGTAAGTACACTGTGCCTGTGCTATTCTCAGCTGGAATGCATCATATAAAATTTTATTTCATAGATCTATTTTATCTCTGCCTTCAATGTAATAATTGATTTTATCCTTTTACTTCAGCAATGGAATGTAAATTTTGTAAATCCAATATGGAGAGTCCAAAAATGTATAAGAGTCACAATTTGAAACAAAGAATTGGCAGGAGGACATTAGTAACTTGCCCCGTTCTACGAAAGTGAGTAGTAACACCCTTTTATTTTAAATTTTTAATACTAAACTTAATTGTTTTAATGATGAAAGTTTCTTATTTAGTAGGCCCTATTCATTTATGTGTATATTTTAATCTCTATTTTATATACCCCTCTTATCATACAACCCTTCATGCGAACCTTCCATTGTCTGAAACAGTGTTGAAAGTTTTCCAATCTTTGCTCCTTCAAAACATGTGCTGCTATTTCAGCAAGAACTTGAATGTAATATAGCTGATTAATAGTTGACCTTTAGGAACCCGGTGAATATGCACAATCTCATGAACTTTGAAACAAAATAATCATCATTGCTTTAGATTTTGTTTTCCACATTTTAGTCTTTTTGGCTCTTCCAGAATCAGCAGTTTGTTTAAGAATTGTTAGTGAAATATGATTCATCAATCTACATTAAAAGGAATAAGATTTGAGTCTGTTAAAACAGCGAAAGAGAAAGTGTCATGCTTCCTGAAGGAGCTGACAAAAGAATTCTTCCAGCATTGTTTTAGATAATGAAGGGTTCACAATGAAGTGTTGTAGAGATAGAAAAAGGGTGTATATTGAAGATAATAATAAGTAAATATGTATAAAATCAAAATAAAGTGTTTAACAGCATCAGTCTTGTGATTTAATAACCACATCTCATATACTTATTAATTTTTTTTATCTGCAAAGGTTATTAAAAAAAGCTTGGATAAATTTAAAATTATTTATCGAGACTGAAAACGCCTTTTTCTATTGATAGTTTTAGGGATAATCTGATTTTATATATAGTTTAAATTTTCTTCTGAAAAACTAACCCTGAAGATGGCCGAAGAGGTGAAAATTTGGATAAATTTGAAATAAAGAAATTATTTATTGAGTCTAAAAAGGCATTTTTTTAAAATGCTTATTTAATTTTGTTGAAAAATCTAGTTAATCACGATAAATTAATCATTGATCAATCTTTGTAATTGACCTAGAAAAAAAAAGTTTTAATCTCCCTCAAAATTTAAGGTTTCTCCTTTCAAGATAGGTATAATCTGATAATCAAATAAATAAAATCCAATGTAAACCATCTGCAGTTTTTCTCCAAAACTGCTGGACCGATTGTTTTTAAATTTGGTATCAATGCCAAAGGTCATCCGAGGATAATCCTCGAACTCCGCATTTATTTTCTTTCCTGTGGCAATAATTCACCGCGGCCATGAAGGCCTATTGTATGCCTCTATTAAAGTCACTCCTATTAGAGTGTAATTCCTGTAGTCTTGATAAACTGAAATATGCTTGTTTTGTGGATAAGCTCATTTGTCTTGGGATCAATGCCAAATAAACTGGCTCTTACTCCATCAAACCTGTCACATCAACAAGTGATATGATAAGCTGTTTCATCCTCCTGACCACAGATCCTATAAAGAGACGACTCCGTTGAACATCCTATAGTTCAGTTTACAGTATATACCGCTGTAATTGTCTTAAGTGAGCTCCTGGTCAAGTTAATTAGTAGGTTGCTCATTTTTGCACAGATTCCTTCCAGGAACAATCTAGAATGAGTCTGTTTTTTCGAGCAGCCTTATTTTTTCTCTTCAGCACCATAGATCTCCCTAATTCTATTATTTATTAGACAGACTAATTCCATAAATGGGTTCAGGAGTTATGGGAATCATTTGTCAGTCCAATCTGACTTAATTCATCTGCCATCTCATTTCCAGAGTAACCTCGAACCCAACCCATTCAATGTTGGCCTTACTGAATCTATATAAGTCGTTAAGAACCTCATCCTCTTTCTGTGGCATCGAAGTTTCGTCTTTCCTGTGCCACATGCCACCAACCACAGCCAGCCTTCATGCCATAGTTCCTAAGGCTTTCTAAGCTGCAGTCCGGGATTCTAAATATGGCCAATAATTCTTTATCCATTTCTTTTAGGTAGTGTAGATACCTTTCATTGATTCTATTAATTGTGGTATTCTGCATCTTAAGTCTTTTTATTAGTGCCTCCTCAGTAAGTACCCTCCCCGGAAAGTAGACACCTATCTTATAGCAGTTTTAATATCTACTGAATTTTTTTTATGGGTTCTTTGGGGTGCCTAAAATGAATGTCATATATTTCCTTAAAAAAAAATATATTTAATGGTGTAGTATGTGTATATGTATATTACATGCTTTATTCTTTTTTTCGGGTTGAATCTTGATAAAATACTATATTTTGTGCATATAATAGTGCGTGCGTTTGTTAATAGTCAAGCTCCAAAACGAAAAGCCGTACTAATAAAATTGCATAATTAAGGTTTTTGTATGCTAGGGATGTTCCAGTAACTTTTTCGTCAAAATCGGCTAGCCAGAAGTGGCACTTTACATAATGGACTAATCACATTTTTACGATTGTCTCGAAAACCGCTCTTAACAATTTTGATTAATTTCATCATATCAGTGTTAAATTAAGCAGTTTTTAATAAAATGTGGTTATTATTCTTATTGATGTTCTCCAACAGAGCTTAAATGGCTAACTTTCAATATTAGCTTCCTCTAAAGTACCTTTAATAAGTATGCAAGGCAGCCATAATTGAAGTGAGGGAAAATAAGAGCTGACGAATTGTAAGGGGCATAGAATAACGGAATCTCAGGAACTGTTTGAGGGTAGCAATGGACTTTCGGATAATTTGGGAAATGTGATTATTCCAGGACAGATGTTGATCAAACATTACCCAAAGGTTTCTTATGGAAGTGTGGAGATGTATGTGTATCCCATTGAGATAGAGTAGAGGATAATAAGAAATGAGGTTAATCAGATGCTTGGATCTGATGAAAATGGCTTTGCTCTTCTCAACATTCAATTTTAAATCATTGTTCGCTGCCCAAATATTAATACTATCGATATCTTCTTATAGCCTTCGGATCGCCTCAAGCATCTCTGTAGGATCGAAGGAAAGGTAGATTAGGAGATGAAAGATGTAGATGGAGAAAAGAGTTGGGTAGAGCGAAGATCCCTGAGGAACGCCATGAGTTAGTAAGAGGGGGAAGGAAGGAGTATTATTAGGAATGATGACAGTTTGGGATCTCTAATATAAAAAAGAATTTAGTGAGCATTACTTTAGGAGCACTATTTGATACAAAAAAGAATGAAACCCCTTTAGAGCACTATTTGATATGGAAAAATTGGTGGTGGGGTTGCCGAATGGGTTAACGTGTGTGCACAGCACCACGAGTTGACTGGCAATCAGATAACCAAATTTTGAGATTGAAGAAAAAAGTTTACGCAGTTGGCTATTCCCCTGGTCACTTTTAGCCATTCTTGGTCGAACCAAGGCACTTCCTTAGTTGGTCTGTCCTATTGTATCCAAGCATATAAACTGCCACTTCTTCCATGGTTTCTTTATGGTTTTGCCACTGTTGATTTATACTATCAGCCTGATAGAGGATTTTAATTTTGGTATTCATACTATCAGTAAAAAGTTGCTTAACCTTAAAATATTTCATTATTTATCTTTGTCAGTTTTCTAATATTTGCAATCCTTTTCTACCTGTGTATTATAATTTTAGTCTCCCAAGATATTCTTAACATCAGATTTTTTTGGACAGGAATCAAGCTGTTGCCCCAGACTACTATACAAGGCATCTTTTTCATCATCTGATAGTTCAGTTGGGGCAGTGGGCGGGGTGGCTGAATGGGCTAACACGTTGTGCACAGCACCACTGTTCCCCGGCAACCTGATATATGACAAATGTGTTATAAAAATAGTCACGAGTTCGCATCCCAGTGCCAAGGCGTCTTTTAAATTCCTGCCCACATAATGATATAATAAAAAAAGGTTCAATTGGGGCATGGACACTAATCTTTCTATAATTGTGGAATTTTCCCTTTATTCCGAGATAACAGATATTTGAACTATTGATTTAAAGCCAATTACCAACTAACTCATCTTCTTGCTCAGAATGAATCTAGTTCCCAATGGATTTTTCTTGTAATTGCAGCTATAGAAGATGGTATGACTTTTCTTGTTAAAGGCTCCTTAACATGTCCATCTTATTTCTTGGATTGCAGCTAAGTCCACTTGATAAAAGTCCAGTTGTGTTAAAAGCTGATGTAGAGCTCTTGGTTTTTACAGAGGAAAAACTTTTCACTGTCTTATTATAAGTTCCATTAGGCAGGCCTTGAGTCGTTACTAAATAATCTCTCTGGCATTGCTTCTCACAGTTTTCATAATTGTGGGATTTTAAGGGAAGACCTGTCTCCGGGTTCAAGTGGAGGAGCTCCTCCGTTGTTTGGAACGCCTACCGAGAGAAGGTAGTCTAGAGTGTATACTGCTAATGACCTTAGTCTGTGAGGAGAGTGTGGATTGTGGGAGGATGATATGACCAGATTATCAATAGAAGTTAATATATTTATTAGTCTTATATCAGATATAGAGGAAAAAAAAATATATAAGACACATAGATATAGAGAGAAAAAAATAAATATAGTATAAGACACTTTCACAACAACCAAAAAAATTCCTTTAATCTACTTAATAATAAACAGAGTGTGTACATATATGAATATAATGAACAAGAATATTTGAAAAAAGTAAAATAATTAAAAAGAATAACTTAACCTTAGTCGAGTGCAGTAGCAGATATAATTGGCCATTATATCTCTGTTTACTGATGTTACAAAACAATTTGGACATCAATCTTTATACTCTGATGTCTAGATAATAGCAGATGATCGTGAATGTGAGTGAAATATGTCCAAAAATGGTTGACTGTCCACGGTAGACCAGGTCCAAAATGCGAATTAACCGGGTACTTTATATAATTAAATATATACATCTATAATTTATTCTTTTGTAAATAATAAGAGTATTAAATAAAAATTGGATCCTCGCTGGTATGGCAGAAAACCTCTCCTTGGGCTTTTCAAGTGATTTTCTTACATATTCCCAATCGCATTACGCCATTACAAAACAAGTATGCTATGTTCATTATATGTAGGTATAATGATTTTGGAACTTTAGTGTTATGGTTTAAAAAAAAAAAAAAATGGCAATTCTCCTGTGAATAGTGTGAAAACATTTATTTTGTTTTATCTAAATAATATGGTCTTCTATTTATTTTATAGATTAGTTTGCGAGAGATGCGGTGAGACTGGAGACAATGCTCATACATTAAGCTACTGCCCCCGTGTCATTGCTGAATCAGGAAAAAAACCTGTTTCTGTTGCAGCTCAATTAAAGAAAACTAAAAGAGTCGCGTCCGGAAAAATGAGGAAGCCATTTTAATGAATTATCACCTTTTGTAATTAATAGTTCCTAAATTTAAAAAGAATCGTACTGATCTTTTCCATTATTACTGTGATACTAGAGTAGTTTTGTGTGAATTCTACTTCATTCATAATTATTTACCTATGAAAGTTACCCATATTAAACTGTCAAAAATTATGTATAAATTAATATTTAATTAAAGGAGAGGAGCCATTATACAATTTTCTTAAACAAAGTTGAGTATATTATAAAATAAAGCTGAATTTCGGGTACGATGCTTGTAGGGTAAGTAGGTGAAGTTTTATGTCTTTTTGAGTCGTTGATTAGTTGTAAAACAAATTTGAAGGAATCTCGTTGCTGTTATTGATTTGGAGCATGATGTCATTGATTTGGAGCATGATGTCATTGACTTGTTGACTACATTTATGAACAGCTATGGCCACTATTAATTTTTTTTTTATGAATATGGAATTTTAACTCACTTAGTCTTTAAAATTTACAAGAATGTTATTGAATATTTTATAGAGTGCTGTATTTCAATGTTTTGCTCCATGGATTATTATTGATCAACAGACTAAATTTTGATAATTCAAAGCTGCCTTGTTTCTTATTAAGTTTAAATATTTATCTAGATTATTAATTTTATAAATAGCTACATGGATTTATGTTATTATTATGAAAGCAAATCTTGTCAGTTAAAATTTTGAGATAACTAATTTCAATATTATCAAATGATGTGCCACCAAATTGTTACTTTTTATATTTAAAATTCCTTTTTTATTTTCTTCAAATTTGTTGACAGTGCATGCATAAATTGTTTTTAACTTACTTTTATAAGTACCAAATTTGCCTATTAGTGTATACAGCTGCTCGAATACACACACCTTTTAAATAAGGCATTTTGTTTTTACTTATTATCATTACTTATAAATGTTATATTATTGGGTAATAAAATTTATACCCATTTTGCATGCGTTTTATATAGTTTTAAATGTTTGTAAAAAAAAAAAAAATATATATATATATATGTATTCCTTTTTGTAATTACATAAATAAGGCATACTTTTATTTATTCTTTGCAATATCTTCCATGTTTTAAACTTGACCAATTAAATTAGCATTAAGCTGTTTTTAACTGGTTGAAACTCAAAAACCTCCAACTTTTAAAAGTTGAAAATTGTTTCAGATTTAAACCATATTCATCTATGTTTTATGCAACCAAAAGCGATAAGTAATTATTTTGAGTTTCAATAGATTAAAATTATTTTCTGATAATTTAGTTTTGTGGCCTAATGCTTTTTATGTTCGCTTTATTTTTTAATCTGTCATAGTCTATAGAACTGTAGAATTTTAAAGATAGTAAATAAATATTGATGTATAAATGTAAATAAATTAATTGCTATGTGTTTTTATAAATAAATACTGTTTTTTTATGTGGAATGACAATAAAGTTTTTTAGTAAATTTAAAAAGATTATTTATTTGTTTTCTTTTATAAAATCTAGTCATTTGACATAATGATATAACATAAGGCCAAGTTCTGCTAGAAAGACCTTCCATAAGGATTTAGGCACCTTGACTTCCAGTGATCTTGTACTTCTGTACAATCGGAAAAAAACTATACAAATTTTCCAATTAAAATGTAGATGTGCTATTGATTTCTGTTACAGAATAAACCATAAAAAAGGTTATGACAATAGTGATTCACAGAACAAAATTGCTAACGAATATTACCTTAATAGAAATGGTTTGTCATGCTAATTAATAAAAACCTAAGTTGAAGGTCTAAGTGAAGACAAGTTATAATTTTCATGTATTGTATTCTGATAACTTTAGAACAAAACAAAACTAAGTACATAATGTGTTCATGCAAATATACCTTACTGCCTGCAAGTTCCTTCCTTAACAAAGTGTATAAAACATAAATTTATAATAAAAGGTTGTAGCCTGTATTAGGGAGAGGTTATTCATTGAAAACAAATGAAAAGGTCCTTGAAATCTACCCTGTCCATCTACCTGCACAGTGCACAGAAGTGGCAACCAAAACATTTACATTTTTAATGGTAATCAATTGAAACAAAGCACTTTGTTTTCTTATAGAATAGGTGTATTCTATGTTCTAAAAAAAAAGGAAGTTTGCAGGATCTCTCAGAATAAAAAAACATTTGTTAAAGTATGTGAGGAAAAAAGTAAGTGCATTTAGGTATGTCCATGGATTTCTCTTAGAAAGCATATGTTCATAATTCAAAGTGAATATGACTAAGACTGATGAATATTCTAAGACCGAAATCGAACCAGAGGAAAGTTTGTTTATAACAGGCTGTATGGTTATCATCAGTACAAAGGTGAAGCAGAAATTTGAGTCTTCCAAATTGATCATGCTGAGTTGAGCCCACATGTTTCTACTGTTATTACATAGCAACATACTGAATTTTCTAATATTGAACACAAAAGACATGCATTCTTTAGATGTTCCTTTACCTTTGTCGTTACCTCTACCTGGCTTTACTATTACTCATTTCAGAACAATTTATCTAAAAAGAAAGCCCCTGGCCCAGACCTAATATATGCTGAAGTGCTCCAGCAAATGCCAAGGAAAGCTCTAGTATACCTAATGTCAATATATAACTTAATACTCAAAACGACTAAATTTCCCTTTGATGAACGCAAACAAAATACCTGTACATCAGTTTAAATTCCTAACACCCTTCGTCAATTATATCAAGTGACCTATTGGAGAATAAATTGTATGCAACAGAAGTATTCGTAGATGTTGCCCAAGTGTCTGATAGAGTTTGGCATCAGGGGCTGCTTTTTTCTTTTAACCAGTGTATTTATGTTTATTATAATACATTATGGAATGAAAGATATTAAAGCTTTGCAATAATTGATTGTTATTTTTGCGAAAATACGGGTACTTTTAGATGATTGAGTGTAAAAAAAAACCTCATTTTTGTTATAAAATTTGAAGTGAAGCAACATATTTCGTAACAAATAAACCTGTACCACTAACATTCCATGAAGGGTCTTGTCTTAGGTTCAGTGCAATGTGATTAAGTACTGTTACAAGACCAACGGGCTGGATGTACCCCAGGAGGATCTATCCACTGCCAATGAAAAATTACTAGTCATCAGTCTGATTCGAACCCGGGACTTTGAGCCCTGGAAGTAGTTAGTGCTCCCATTGAGCTACCTACCCCGCTCACTTTCCTATATTTTGTAATAAACCTCAGTGAAATTAATATGGACTTTGAGTTTTAAACAAAGAACTTTTTTTATTTTTAAATGAAGTACTTTTATTTCAGTTGGATGATTAATGTTTTATAATCATGAATAATTCATGATTTTTTAAAAAAACAGAACTTAGTTAAGTCGCTCCAAAGTCCTCTTTAAATAGTTTTACTAATGACAAACTATTTTTCTGTGAAGTAAATTTTGTCTAGTTAATTGTGAACTAATTGTTAATTATTTAAATGCTTTTTTAGTTATCGCTTCCTATACAATAAAAAGTATTAGTTAATTAAAAGAACATAAAACTTACATTTCTTACTTTTTGTGAAAAGAATGGGCATTGTTTATGTAAACATTTTTTAGCTCTTGAGGTCTGCTATTACCCCTTAATAAATTTTCCTTTACCTACGTGATACCCTGTTTTGTGAAATATAAGCTAAATGTCAATAACATTATTTTATTCACTAATAGGAGTTAATAGTTTGGTTTTAATCTTATATTCTAATGATTGAAGGCAACACATTAAAAAAAACACAGTTTACTTAAATTAAAAATTTAATTTTAAAAGACATAATTTAAGATATAAAAATGTATACACAATGTTGCTTGAACAGATCAAATTCACAAATTTTAAAAACGATAAATAATACACGAGTTATCACTCTTAACAACATTTAACCTAACATTTCGGGAAAGGGGAGGAATAAATTTACATTGGTGGGAAGTTTCTTTTTTAAATACAATTTACAAACGGATTCCAGGGTTTCGTGAGCGCACAAAATTCAGAAGTTCATCAGAGTCTTCACAAACAAATGGTTTCAAGTGATGGCAAGCTACATCATGCCATTTGACTCCGTCTTGGTAGAAGTTGTTGAGAATAGCAAGGCAAGATTCATCGTTGCCCTGAAATATTAATAATGAAATATATTTCCTTTTTGTCCTATGCAGATACTTTCTAAAAGGATGAACATAAATTTGACATTTTAATTACCTGTGGTGCTTCCCTGTTGTCAGGCTGAGCTTGCCCATATCCTCCAGTTTGACTCCAGTCTCCAGTATTTCTTTGGGTGGTAGGTCCAATTTTAGCTCCAGAGCCAGACCAGAACCAGCCATTAACATTGGAAGGCTGTAAATCAGGTCTATCACAGCCGTTGAAATTACATTTGCGTCCAGAAGTCCAAATGTATTTCACGTTGCCTTCAAACAAAACAAATATGTCAAGCATTTGTCTTTTTCAAAAGTCCTTAAATCATATGGACAAATTTTCAAAAATAAAGAACTAAGTATGAAGTTTGATGAAAATGTGTATATTTAGTATCATTTTATTTTGATTTAAGTAAGATCAATTGTTTGATTAATTATGACCAATTATGCAACAAATAGATATAAAATCATCCCTTCTGAAATCTTTTTGATTGTTATGATTACATATATATTTATTTTTAAACAGATCGTGTAAGAAACAGAAATTTGGTGTTGAATTGCATATTTAATATTCTATTCTTCTCACCTCTAACTATCCTTTGCTTGATGAATTCATTCTCTTGGGGAGTTTCAAGTGAGACAGCATCCATGCAGTGTCTCCTGCAAATGTTTCTTGCATCCAGCCAATCAACTTCAAGGCTCCTGGTTGGTGCATGTTCCCAAGAGAAGAAATATGAGTGGGCTACTCCTCTTGCATCTCTGTAAGTCGAATGTCGAACTCCTGCAATAATAATCAATATTTTAGTGGTTGGAATTGATAAATACCTATATTTTCCTTTTTTTTTTTTAAACGGTAATTATTCTGGAAAAAAATTAAAGAATCTATGTAAAATTATGTTGAAGTTTTCCTTAAAGGTCTATAATTTTAAAAAAACATTGTCTGAATAATAATTATTCATGGATTAATTGTTTATCCTTTTTTCTTGACATATGCTTACATTTAGTAGCTGAATCTGAGTTTAATGTCTTAACATTTAACATTAACGTATTTCATACAAATTTGAATATCCTATGTTTCATTTGCGATTGTTAATCAATTAAAACAAACTTTGTTTTGATTGTTCCTTAAAACACATACTTATTTTTCAGGATTAATAGTTTAAGAAAAGTGTTAAATTACATTCACCAGAACAAAAAATATGAAACCATTTTTAGAAATACTTCACTGATATAACCAAATAGACTTGGGCAATTGCTGAGATTTAAAAACACCACTTGAAGCTGATTTTATCATTTTAAAATTACACTTCAAGCAGGATGGTTGGTTTTCAGTTGTTAAAAAGAAAGTTAATTTTACTTTCATTCGATTTATATAAAATAAATAGGTAAGAAAAATATTGGCATCATGAAAAATTATGAATCGGAAACGGTAATTCACGTTTGAAGGTCTTCTGGGCTAACCATTTTCAAAATTTTGTTCTGTAAAATACTTTTAATTTTGATTATTAGAAACAAGTTCTCTGATTGTGAGGAGTGATACATAATGGTAAAATAAGAACAATGAAAGAATTTGATAATTATCTAAACGAGGAAATGAGAGCAATATGACCGAGTTCCTGAACTCAACGCTGAGGTCATCCATGACAACAGATTCGTCTTCATTTTGCAGGTTCAAAATAAATATACAGAAATATGAGTAGTAATAATGCTTGTCAAACCGCTGGAAAGCTTAAGATTTCAGACAAAAAATGGATAATGACCAAACATTAATGACTTTTAATTTTTGTAGTTAAAAATATCTACTTTTATTATTGAACACTAAATAAGTATTTTCGTGAAAAGTAAATAAAATTTCCTTGAAAAACTTAAAAATGAATTGTGAGCTTGACATATCAAAAATATATAGTACATTAGATTTTTCAAACATAACATTAATTGTGAAGGTTTTTTTTTTGTATTTAAAGTAGTAGTATTCTTAAGATTTATTGAATTAAAATATATATATGAGAAGGAATTAGTCGAGGGTGCGGTCAAAAAAATAAAAAAATTAAAATATATAAATAATTTTAATTTTTGCCGACGTTTCGACCCACTTTGCAGGTCGTCTTCAGGGCGTTGGATGTGGCACTGCGGGAGGCGGTTGAAACGTCGGCAAAAATTAAAATTATATATATATTTTAATTTTTTTATTTTTTTGACCGCACCCTCGACTAATTCCTTCTCATATCATATCAACGGTCAACCACCTCTACATCATTAAAATATATATAATTTCTACTCATAGGGTAGTAAGTGAAAGTTGTGTGATGCATCCCACATTTTTTAATGTGATCGTTTGAGATTCATACTCATTTATATTTTATTTTTATCAATTACATTACACCTTCATGGAGAATATTTTAGACTGTGGAAGATGAAAAGCAGAATATTTATAACTAACAGGCAAGTAGTAGAATAAACGGTATTTGATAGATTACAAAGACCTATTGTTTGGAGACCTTTCATATAACAATATAGTGTTGTCCATTGTTAGATTAGTGCCTATAGCTATGGGCCCTAGGAAATATAGGCGGTTTGAAAAATACGTAAATATTGAAGAATTTTTAAAAAGTAAGTAAAAATAAGATAATTTAATAAAGTTCAAAGTAGGACATAGAAAGAAGTGGAATTTTACCTAATCTAATTTTAGTTAAAACTCTTTATGTTCACTTTCTTAATAATTAGTAATATCTTCATCTTCACTTACGCTATTTGTTTTAAAATACCTGACCTCTTTCCATAATACACCGAAAGGAGCCTTATGTAACTGCGTTTAACTAAAGATGGTAGATTTATCTTTGCAGAAAAAAAAACTTAGTGACATGCTTCATGATTTATGCTGCATTCTCGGTACAAAAAACTAGCTCGTTTTCTTACGATGTATCAAGAAAACTGCGAACTTTTCTTCTTTTTGACGAATCCTTCCTATAGCTGAGGAATTATTTATGAAGGATATTGAATTTTACAAATAATCACTTTTTCTGACAACTTTTAATCATATTTACACATTTAACAACCAATTTAACTTTTTCTCCACCTAACTAAACACTGATTTTATGAATTTCGGATATTTTGTTTAAATTTACATCTGGATATTTCATTGTTCTTATGAAAGTTAGTGTTCTATTTTCTCATGAAGTAGCTCATAAATGCATTAGTAATGGCGCCTAGGATTCAATTAATTCGATCCTGCATATATACTGTAAATACTTCTTTGTTTTGTGCGATGTTGCATGGCCCATATTCCAAGAAATTTTATAGTCTTCTTCTTTAAAACGTTGCTAGTGAAATTCATAGGTATGATTGTGTTTAGAAGTTTCTATTTTATGTTATTGTTTACTTTTTTTTTTTCTTTAATTTACTTTCTTCATCAGTATTATTTATTTACTTTTTATATTTATATTTATTTCTCTATTATTTGTATATATTGTTTGAATGAGAACTCTTAGCCCTAATACTTATAGCCCTCCAAGTGGCTGATTGTATTATTATTCAATAAATAAATAAAAAAAAAAAATGAAAGTATAATTATACAAATTATACATACATACATTTAATAATTCAGGTTCACATACATACATTTAAACTTGTGGCCAGCTCTATGTTTTTCCTTGTTCTATAGTCGAATGTTACCCTAAATTATTACTCCAAAAAAAAATTATGCTTTTAAAATTTATATCCCGCTCAATCACCAGGTTTCGCCCCTTAATTATTTTGAATTAAGGGTACCCACATTGTAGAGGCTGGTTGTGCCAGAGGAGGGTCTCCCGGCACCAGGGTCGATCCACGGCCAATGAAAAATTGCTAGTCATTAGCCGAATTCGAATCTAGGACCTTGAGCTCACCCACTGAGCTACCCATATATATATATATATATATATATTTTTATCTTTTCTTCTTCCAACAATTGTGCGTATTGTGTTATAATTGGCTAAAAACCAGGTTTCACGCATTCGAAGTATACCCATCCTTGATATATGGGCTCAATACTACGAAAAGGAATTTACTGGCTTTGGAGTCTAATAGCGTTAAATCCGGAAATCATGGTGACCATTTAACAAATCCGTCTCGACCAACTCATTGGTCAACATTAGTTGCATTTAAATTATAAGTAACACTATTAGAAAAGTGAGGTGGAGCACTGTCATTCATAAACCACATTCTTTGCCTAATGCCGAAATTTTTGCGCTTGTTATAATCTTGTGGTAACAAATCTTGCCTATTCGATACGTGAAATGGATACAATTGTTGTTCGCGTAAATTTCGCCATACGTTGGTAGAGGAAACATCGAAACGACGTGACAGTCTTCTGGTACTAGTAGTAGGAGATAACTGAACAGCATCGAGTATTTCTTCTTCAACGTTTGCAGTTCGCCGAAATCTTTGTCCAACGGCGTTTACTCGTATAGGTTTTAGGGTGTCATTATCCCTAAGGCGTCTTTCAATGGCCTCAAACGTTTTACGATTTGGTATTTTGCGGTTAGGAAATTTTTCACGATATCTTCGAACAGCAGCAGTACCGTTTCTATGTACATCGCTATAAGTTAAAATCATATATGTTTGTTCTGCAAAAGTGAATACATTTATGGCGTCTCCCATGATAATCATAAATTGAACTGTGTCACAGTATTCACTCACACTAAAACACACGAAACTAGTCAACGGTAGTAGACAAACGGCAACTACTGTCATTGCTCTTAGTTAATTTGTTTATCAGGTAATTAAAACCTGTAATTTAGTATTATACACGTTAAACTTTGTACAGTCAGTCTTTAATGTAGTAAATAAATAATAAATCTTTAACCTTTGATATCTGTTTAATAAATGAGTTAGTAATATGTGTTAATATGATCTTTTTTGTTTATTTTGTTGTGTCAGGAAACACATACCTAATATAGTGCCGGGCAATTAGGAAACACCCTATGCGTATTGGGCTCTGCTAACGCAGGATTACAATAATTTAATTTTATCTATATTTGGTAAGTAATCGTATCGTTTAATTTTGCTACATTAATTTACTAATTCGTTTACTTATCTTGAAAACGTTATATATTTTTAAAATAAAGTTTATTTTTTATTTATTATATGATATTGTTTGCGATTTGCTGTGGAGAGAGGAATCGGCATGCGTTGCGAAGTAATAAGGACGACGGTCATTTGCGATCTTGTTGTTAATTTTCAATTGGGCATTTAATGAATTTCAGAACACAAAAACGTATTTAGGTTCCTAGTAGTATTGTAAAAAAAATCGTGTTACAGATTCAATTGAGGGTGACATACCTAAACAGAAGAAAAAACCGAACATAGTTTATGTAACAAATTACAGAAAATCTGCCAACTATACAAAGAAATATAGTACTTTAATTAGGATGTTACAGAGGCTAATAAGATTATGCTATTGAATATTTATAGAAGAAAGATTAAGCAACAAAGTACAACTAAACGTAATGATACATAACTAATAGAGGATTATTATATATAAGTATTAATATATATGTATATATATATATATATATATATATATATATATATATATATATATATATATATATATATATATATATTTATGTATACGTATTTCATAAAATCAACAAATTAAAGAAAAAAACTAAATCCAACCGATAAAAGAAAATTGCATAAATAGCCCGTGGTATAGACTCCTTTTTATCTAATTATTAATGTCCGCCTGAAACTTCGTAATAGCTTCATCTCATCGTAATCTACAAATATTTTAATTACGAAAATTCTCGAAATTGGGGCGTTTTCAATCTGAAGATCGGCAAACTTTGTCTATTTAATAGGTAATAAAAACTCGTAAATACTTATTGCAAATATTGAGTTGTTTATTGTTGCCTACATCCCCAAATTGTTAAAATAACGAGGTCATGTTGGACAAACGGTCCAGGAATTTTTAGGCCACTTTTTTGTCCATTTTATGATCAAATTATCTTTCGATCCAAGTGGAAAGCAAATCGGTATTAACTGACTAAATTATTGTGCTATATTTAAAAATAAATGACCGAAAATTGTATTCGTGAGAAAATAGGATTTTTAAAAATTTATACTGGTTTTTTAATGTTTGCTCAGTTAACCTAAAATTTACTATAATTGTTACAGTCACGAAAGGAATATTTTAATCGTTTAAATTATGTGGAAATTCTGCAACAGTATGATATTTGTTATCACACCATCAGGTTTTGATTGATAGTTGACAATGCTAGTGGCTGTTGCTACTTCAACTATCTACTGTTGAAGATTAACCAAGTCTCGCACATTCACTGATGGATTGGTGATTATGTGGAAAATATCTTCTTCAAATGAGGAGGTTAAAATTATGTCGTAAGTCAATTTCACTTTTTTGTCCAAAAAGTAAAGAATTTTTAATATGGTTTAGTTATGTATTTATGTTATTCATATCATTGAAGTATATTTATAAAATTATAACTTTCTGGACAAAGAGTAAAATCGACTTACTTTACGATCTAGGCTTCCTTCCTCCGTCTTTGGCTCTGTATTGTCTTTGGATCGAGAGGTCATATGGGTTCCGCGGCAGTGGGCGGGGTGGCCGAAAGCGTGTGCACTGCACCGCCGTTGCCCGGCAACCTGATGTATGAATTAAAGATATAAAAATAGTCACGAGTTCGCGTCCCGGTGCCAGAGGAGTCTTTTAAATCCCCGCCCACACTCCCTGGCCCGGGAAAATTCCGTATAGCCTTAACGGCGAGGAAGGGAAGGATCCAAAAAAAAAAAAAAAAAAATATGGGTTCCGCGGCAAAGAGAGCGCCACGTTATTTGTTTTTTCATTTTAATTAATTATTATTTCAACTCATTCCATAATTATACCGACATTTGTTTGTTTAAACATAAGCAGCTGGGTGAATTTGTCTTAATAAAGGTTTTGCCTCACTCTTTACAATAATTTACCAAAGTCTGCATAAAGTGCATTAATGTGATTGTGAGAATAATATTTAACATTTGAATTTTTTTTAATTTTCTTGTTTTTTCTCTCGGCTAGCTAGCTTAGAGGCAATTCGAACAATGCTACATTCATCCTATGTAATTTTAATTCAGCTGCAAATATTTTTTAAAAAATATGGTATCTATGACCTGTTCAATTTTGTTTATAAAAAGTACATTAATACAGAAGATATATTCAAAGGAAAAGAGAGATTATTAAATAGTGATTTAAGGATACATCTTATTCATTCAAATGAATATGGTTTTGTTATTTATTCAATCGTTTTTCATATTGCTTATTTTATGGTAAATGTCGAATTCACATCCCAGGCTTTAGATGATAATAAAGCAGCCTCGTTTACGACTTGTACCTCTTAGCGATTTCACCTCGATTATTGCTTACAGCAACTGAGGAAATGGAACTTTCTAAGCATTTCGCTGTATTTTTTTTACTAGCCCATTAAAGTGAAGGCCCCGGCACATGATAGTTATGTCGGATTGGATACACTTTAAGGCACATCTAGTAACTTAACGACATGTGTAAAAACGACTAGGGCGAGACTGTTGTAGTACACAACGCGAATGAGTTATAAGCCTAGGTTTATTTGAAAGGTGTACAATAATAATAATTATTACTATGTTGCAGTAATCGTCAAATGTGTATTCGGAAGTGAGGAAGGAAAAATAAATGACGAGTTCAAATAGTATCAAGTACGGTATGTCTAGACATATGTGCCAATCTTCCCTCCTCTTCGAGGTAGGTTGTCCATGCACCCTTCCCCTCAAGAACTTTTATTATTCTCCTCTCTTAAAAATATTACAAGCAAAAGAAGAATTAGGAAAATTGTAGTCCACATACCATTGTCCTTGGCTATGATCTGTACAACACTTGGTTCGAAAATATTAATTAAGTCTTATATGACTTACTTCATTATAATGCAGGGGTCTCCAAACTTTTTGGGACGCGGGCCCCATTGAGACCTCCACTAAGTCCCCCGGGACCTGGCTTGTGATAAAAAATGACTCTTCAGCTGTGAAATGAGCTTTCTAAGAGAAAGAACTCATGCAACAAATGTTGTAGAAACCTCCTGTTTGAGTGATCTACTTAATTTCTTATTTTTTAAATAGTTTTAAAATTTTACCATGTAATCAAAAAAACTTAAGCAGACAGGATTCGAGGTGTTTGCAGGCCCCTGTTCTGATGTTTTGTTTATTTGAGCAGCTAAAAATAAGATCCATTTTTTAAATAGGATATTTTGGATTGGCAAAATCAATAGCACTTTAATGTAATAGTGTTTTAAAAATAAACATTCTGTAGAACCTTTACATTAAAATTAAAAAAAAAATTGAAAATAAGGTCCTAGTTATAACGAAACTATTTAAAATAAAAGTTAAAATATCGTTTCAAGCCCTGGTTTCACGTTTTTCCCTTTTGTGCAGTACCGGCCCTAAACATTCGGCCCCCTGGCCAATGAACTCATTCTTCTCCTTAAAAAATTAAATTTATTTCTTAAGGTGTTTTATATTAGGTAGTATTTGAATTTCATTTTCATGACGGGGGGTACATCTTGACGGGGTTAGAATTTCAAGAATGAAAAGTGTTCAATTAAAAGAACAACGTGGAAAAGGGAACAGATCGCAGGTGTGAGAATTGCAATATAACTCTGAATATATATTATTTTTTTATTAACGAATTTACAACTGTAATTTAATAAAAATACAACAAGTAAATATGAACAAGTAATATGACAGTAGCAACATGAGGAGAATACTACCCCTGGTAGCACTCAAGTATAATTCTTTATTGAGAAGGTCCCGAGCCAGCTTCTTTTAGACGCCCTCGGAGGGTTTATCAGGATAGAAGAGAAGCCAAGGTTGAAACGAGGGTTCGGATGGTTCAGAAAGTTTATTATGAAAGCAGGTATCTGGATTGGCGCTAATTTGGAAACATATGGTCATAGGGTCATTATGCATGATTATATTTGTGACAAAGTAGGGAGCATATAAAGGATTTTACGAAGGGATAGTGGATAGTAGGATGGAGGACGAGAGGAATGTTGATGTTTATAGAGCCCCAAAGCTCGATCCCGTAAGTCCAAATATGCCTTATTATAGTCATATATAGTGAAGTCTTTTGTAAATCGTTTGGCAGGTTAGAGTTGGGGGGGGTTTGTCTAGTAATGTGCTGAGTAGTCTGAAACGACGGGCGGTTTCTAGTCGTTTCAGTCTGGTATGGGGGTTCAAGTGAGACGTTTGTCAGGTAGAGTTCTAGGTATCGGATTTGGTCAACAGGGATAAGTGTGGTAATTGATTTAAAGGATCATGTAGGACAGGAATTCATAGTTACAAACGAAGAGTAAAGGTAATTGATGAGATATTATTGGAGTTTTAGTTTAATCCTTCAGTTTTGACATCATTTTTCAAGACTTGTGAATGTGTGATTGAAGAGTTTGGGAAGCAATAGATGGATCGTTTTATTGACGTGATAGGAACATGTGTCATCGGCAATATGGTGTGACGACCAGTATTGAATGGTTGCGTGTCAGCTCGTATTAACTGTATAAAGATAGACTAGACATGGAGACTTACCTTGAGGAACACCAAAGCAAACTGAGAAAAAAGAGATGAAAAAGCATTGTTATGATTGACTTTGAAGAATCTGTCAGTAAGGTAGGAATGAATATTTAAATTCTACTTTCGTTTGCTTATGAGCCATCGGGCTTGGGAGTTGGGATGAAACTCAAGTATATGTAAAAAAGTTTGTTTTATTTTCATATGTACGTATTATTTAATATAGAGCCGCTGTAATTTTAAAATAATTAACAACTGTAAAAAATATGCGCGTTTTGCCTTCGAAGCCAATCTTAAACAATTCCTATATTTCCCCCCCTTATATGGAAAATATTACTGGAAAATAACCCTTTACTTCAATGTATATGATTGAAGAAGTGAGATGATGTATTTTTATTAAATATAATTTATTATATTTTACACTCACTGTTGGCACAACTCCTTGGGTCGGGAAGGGCAAGCCGTCGCTGCGCCGACACTAGCGCCACCAGCAGCACCACAAGTGCCAACTCGCGAAACATCACTGATCTGAAAAAAAGATTTAAATCATTAGCAAAGGAAATTACATAACAATATGAAACTATATATTTATAGTTATTTGCTAATATGCAATTCTGAAGAGTTTGTTTACATGTTCATCCATCTGGGAAGATCAATCAAGCTGGAAAACTGTATGATATTACGTCAGCACCGCTACACATCTTTGCAATCATCGAAAATAAAGCTCATATAAAAACTTTTAACTGTGATTATGCGTTATCCGATGTGTTGGGAGATCATGAGAATAACCGTTTGGAAAAAAAAAAACTTCAACAATCAACATGCCATTTCTTTGATCCTAAAACTCATTAGGACGCCATTTTGAGAAAGTGTGATCACTTTTTATTTCAGAAAATAACTCGAGGAAAAGAGTAGTAGTTTCAAGAAAAATACAGAAATTAGATCTTCCAGATATGTACATATATTTTTTAAACTCTATTATTTTCATTTATCTTGAAATTAATTCCTTTCATTTAATTAACAGATTAACATTTATCAGATTTGATTCAACGCAACAGGGGAAATTATGCATTTTTTACATAAAACGATTCTTGTTACAATTTTCAAACCAACGTCTCCAAGATTGACTTATTATAATTTTTTTTGCAAAATAAAAACCGGATTAGTTGAAAATCACCACGTTAATAATAATTAAAATAATTTAAAAATGTTTAGATATAAATTAAAACACGTTAAAAATATTAAAATTTTGACGAGTGTGAAATTTGTATTTTATTTATTTAGTTGAAGGTAACGATTAAAATAACTGATTTTATAAAATAAAAAAAAATGAAGTAAAATTGAAGGTATATATATATACAAATCGAATAAAGTTATTAAATGTATGCATGTTTTGGATGTTAGGTGAAAGGATTGGCGGATATTTTTCTTTCATAAGGCTGATTTTAATTAGAGGCAATCGAATTAATTGTTTATAATATTTGCAAGTTAATATTGTACCATTTGAAATGAAATATTTAAACTGGAATATAAACTCTATTTAATCTTTTGGTATATACCTATTTATAAAAGCTATAATATTTCAATAGTCAAATCGCGGTTTACAACTTCCATAAACCCTCCACTGGTCGTTTTGAGTCGTAATCTCGGCTTTAAATAGCTACATCATTCAATCGCTCGTTCAAAAAGAATGAACAAACCCCATACGTCATTTTCAGTTAAGGTCGGGGCATTAACTAGAAGATTCGGTCACCTACGTTTACTTTCGGATACTCTCGGTCCGGATGATTCCATCTTGTGTCATTCATCATAGTGAAGCAACACTTGTAAAGTAGTACTCATTTAAATTAACACTAAAATGAAAAAAATATTTTCAAAAATATAATACTATATTATAATACTATATTTGATATAGTACGTAAAGATTTTTTTAGCGGGGGGGAGAAGGCTTGCCGTTGGATCACCTCCATCACCCGTTCCAAAGGACTACAGCTGGCCATGGTAATGCAGCTTTGGTATTGTATTATAATTGCAGGAATGTTACGTTGATCTATTCAAGACTCAATTGGACAGAATGAAAGTGACATATTCAAATCACTTTCATAAAACAGAATCCGTTATCCTCGAGACACAATACAAGAATCGAGGGATAATTAAAGTAACGGATCGACAGTCGTGTGGTGACTGAATCGAGGAAGTGTGCCACTCTGTATCCGGTCTAAGTAGACCACTTCTCCTAACCCACATCCTGCCTCCACCTGCTCCTCGGATACTAACCTTTACCAAGGCATTTACGTAACTTATGAAACCGGGCCCTCGGTCTTAGCTTCGCTTTAACATGGTCAGGGCTCATTGGGTCCATTCTAGGGTCGAAGATGAATATGAGAATGGTGGCTCCTTCGTGAAACGAAACATTAGCGACGCACTACTTTTCGTTCATACGTTTGGTAAAAAAAGAGAGTCTAGAAACCTTTCTCTTCTCTTAGTAATGCAAAGTGGCCCGTACCCCATCGTTTGAATTGTTAAAGACCCTACGAAATTCTTCAAACTGGCATATCACGAAATAGGATCAGTTTTGAGATTCCTTTTCTACCTTAATTTTTTTTTTTTTTTTTTTTTTTTTATGTCTGCGGAAGAAAACCTTTCTTTTTGTTCGATCCGATAGCGATTGTTCGTGAACGATTCCTCATGCATTCGTGACCCATCCCCTTTCTCCAAACGATTCCATGTAACCAGCTGCCACTGTACTTTCTTTGACCTCGGTGCCAGCCGAACCCAATAGGTTGGGGTTTCTTGCCAACTACTTCGCTGGAGCGTTGCATGTTTCCTAAAACCTGGGTAACTTTCTCTCGGCAAATTAAGTTTTTGGAAAGGGAAAATTGAAAGTGTAATCGTCCTACTTCTAATCGCTCTACACGAATATCATAACTGAATAGATGTGATTTCATAATTACTTCGATTCTTTAAAATTGTAGTTCGTTTATTGGTTCCTCCAAAGAAACTGACGTAGTTGAAGTTAATGTGAAACAACATTTCTCTATTTTTGTAAATTATCTGAACTAAGCGATGTATTAATATTAATTATGGCTGTACTAATATTTACTTACAAACAATAACATGTAATCAAATGTTTGGGCTATATTTTATCAACCATTTTTTTTTTCTATTACACCGGCAACGTTTCAGCTGTTGTTGCCATTTTCAAGGCTCCTCCAGTGTAATAGAATAAAGAAAAAGGAAAATGATGGAAAAAATATAACCTCGACATTGTATTATGAATCTAATTTCATCTTAAAATGCAATATAAATCAATAAAACACAATATAATTAAAGTAAATTAGGGATGTTCACCACCCATGAAATTTTATTGCTCTCCTCTTCTTAAAAACAGTAGACGCGAAAGTAAAATTAAAAAAATTGCATATTATAAACAATTACACTCGATGTCATTTGCTCCGTCTTTTATTTTTTGTCCACTGGTTTGAACGTTGCTCCAAAACTAACACAAAAATATGGCTCCAAAAATTCATCCTCCTATTGAATTTTTGCCTCTAAAAATACAAATCTCTGTAAAAATATACCCTTTAAAAATTTAGGCAACTTCTTCTGGGCAATGTAGAAAACAGATTATATATTCAATAAAAAACAATGAATAATTTTTATTCGGTTAAGAACAAAACTGGAGTTTACTAATGCGAAACGTGATTGCTTGGTTAAGTTAAGAACAAAAATATTTCATAAATAAAATACGATTTGGAGTCTTTGTCCGAACTAGGTTGAGACGAGTAAATTCAAGTGAACATTTTAATAGTAATTAATATTAGGCAAAATAATAATATAGTAGTAGATATCACTGATTTTTAAATTATTACTTTTCACGTCGAAGGCTAGCGAACAGTTATAAAAAAGGAGGCTGTACCGCCATTTAATTTTAAATTACAGCATCCTTCTTCATCATTGTTGTTACCGCGGGTTCGTGGTACAGGAATCACCAGTTCGAAAATTGACAGTTATTATCTAGGCGGCAATTTTCAAATTAAGTGGACCAACTTGTCGCAGTAACCTTAATGCATAAAATCAAAACTACCGAAAAATAAAATCGGTGCGGGCAGTCCCTAATCAGAAGCAACGACCGTTTGGAATTCAAATTGGGAGGTTAAGGGATTGATTAGTGAAAAAACACGTTGAAGACTGCCCGTTGAAGGGACGAATCGTTTATAAAATATAAACAGATTGTATTTATCGCAATTTTTTTAATGTATATATTTGTTTATTTAATTATATTTGCGTAATAGATAAATTAATATGTGGCTGTTCTGCTTTTTGTAAATAGCCACATAACAGTGGAGAACTCTCTGAAACTCACTTGAAATAAATGCACAAGTAGCTGATATACTTAAGAAAATTTCTTTGAACTTTTACGTGTAAAAACCTAAATATTGATGTTATTATCTTTTTCATGGATTCATCTTATAGAAATATTTCTTACTTTAATAAGACATATTTCAAATCCATGAAACATTTATCAAAATTTAAAAAAAAAAAATGTAAATTAAGAGAATAGTTTTGTTATACCAGTAGCTGACACTATTTGATTTGAAATGTTCCTATATGTGACAGAGATGAGAAAAAATATGTAATTAAGAGAAATTTCATAGTCTTCATTTTAAGATTAACAAACATTACCTTTTACTTATTATAAAATTAACTTCTTTGTTAAAACCTCACTTAAATTTATCAATAAATACTGGTCACTGTGAAGAACCTGTTTTTGGCAATAGGAGGACTAGGAATCATTAGCAGTTTATTTTTAACGAGACATCAGTGAGTGGTCCGATATTAAGACCCATTATATTGAGTTTATCTCTTTGAATTTATGAGAGTACAGGTCTGTCAACTACTGAAAAATCCCCATTATAAGGCTCCAGTAGCTGACACTCATTAAATATAAAATTCCTTCATCAAGATGAGTTAAAAACAGATACAACATAATTTGAAAAAAACTCCAAAAAAACAATCAAACAAATGTTGTGGGATAAATCTGAGTAGTTAAACAGAAAAAGGCAAACCCAAGGAATGGTGCTCTTACTGACAGATGGTTGTTCCTGGGACACTAAGTAGACCGTCAGGGATCTTGCTAATTTGCTACTCATTATTTTGGGTGCGATTTCCGGCAAGAATAAAGCAAAGTAGACTAATATACAAGGAGAAAATATAGCAACAAATAATATATGAAATAGAGATCTAGGAGGTTCTGAAAGTTTATTATTCCCATTTTTCGAGGATGTCAGCTATTGGTGCTTTTACCCTAGTATGATGTTAAACATCCCATTCATGGATTCGATGAGTTCATTACGGTCATTGTCTGATTTACACATTTGGGGTGAATCCGTCCAAAGTGGAAAAATTTGCTTTTTACTTGAATACTTGAACAATCAAAACATATGTAAGCAAGTGCCAAGAAAAAAATGCATCCATTATTTTCCCAAAGCATTAGTATCTTTCTTGTAAACAGTTTTCTTTTTAGT